GCATGTGAGTAGTTGGTGGTCTGTTCCACAATCAGCTCCTGGCCTAGTTTTCACAGCTGATATTGAACTTCTCCAGTGGTTCTTTCCACATATGTAATTGATCTGATTCCCATAAAGACCTATATAAGGAAAACTATGAAATACTATTATAAGTAGCAAGAAGATATTGAGATAAATGGTAAATAATCCATGTTTGTAGATTAAAATATTCAACATTGCAAAAATGACAATCCTATCAAAATAAATCCACAAGCTCAACACAATACCAATACAAATATCAATATAAATCTTCAAAGAAATAGAAAAGGCAATTTCCAATTTTATTTGGAAAGACAGGAGACCCCAAAATAAGCAAAGGTCTTCTGAAAAAGAAACACAAAGTAAGAGGTATCATATTCCTTGATCTCAAAACACACTCTACAGCCATAGTCATGAAAACAGCACAGTAGAATCAACCATTTTATTACTAGGATTATAACTTAAGGAAATCAGAGCTTAGATATGAATGGAGATATATACAGATGTTCATCTCAGTGTTATTCATGATATCAACAAGATGGAAACAACTCAAGTGTCCATTTGAATGGATAGAGAACTGTGGACACTGACACAGTGGAATACTATGTAGCACTAAAGAGCAACAATGTATGCATAAAATACTATACAACATGATTAAGTCTAGAGGACATCCATTATGCTGAGTGAAATAGCTCAGTGACCAAAGGATAAATATTGCGTAAAACCATTACTGTTAAAAATAGGAGGGTAACTGAGTAATGATGTCAGGAGGCAGATAGAAAGAGCAGAAATAGAATGTACAGATAACACATACTGCAAATGACCATGCCAAGGGAAGATCAAACTAGGAAGAATCAATGTAATGAAAACACTGCTATTATAGTTTGTAGTAATACAGTATGTAAAACAGAATGTATATGAATTATTTTATAAAGCAATGCATATAAATGAAATACAATGTATATTAAGGATCATATGCAAACCAATTAATAGCCCCTCAACATAGTATCCGTCCAACTACAAACACATAGAGATCAATGGGATAGAATCAAGAATACAGAAACCAACCCATCTACCTACTGTCAGTTGTTATTTGACAAGGAAACAAAATCCATTAAATCGGGAAATGACAACCTCTTTTACAAATGGTGCTGGCAAAACTGAACATCTAACTACAGAAAACTGAAACAAGACCTACATCTCATACTATACACAAAAATCAGCTCAAAGTGGATCAGATGGTCCTAGGTGTAAAACTAAAAACCATAATGATCAACAGAACAAAAATAGAAACAATTTAAGAAGGTCTGTGGCATGAATAGACATTCAAAGATAACCAAACATGCATAACAAGGAGAGGACTGAATCAATGAATGGACCTTCTAAAAATAAAATCCTTATGTGTATAAAAAATATTTCCAATAAAATGAAAAAAGCCTTCTATAGCTTAGAAAAAATATTTTGCATTGACAGCTGACAAAGGAATAATGGCTAAAATCTATCGAATACGAAATGCTGCAACGAGAAAAAGACTGATAACCCAATTACAGAATGGGTAGTAGATTGAAATGATTCTTTACCAATGAGGATATTTAGATAGCAAATAAACACATGAGGCAATGTTCAAAATCACTAGCAATAAGAGAATTGCAAATAAAAATAACAATGAAATACCATTTCACCTCAGCAACAATGTTGTTGTTGTTGATTGCCTTCGAGTTGAGCACAACTCACAGTTACCCTATGAAAAAAGGCCTGAAGCCCATTTACAACTATCAACATTTATCAAAGTTCATAGTTTCCAGGGGCAAGTTGTTTAAGAAGTGGATGGCACTCCTGCTTCCAAATCTGTCCTAGTATGTTATTGTTGTTATGTGACATTTAGTCATCTGAGAGCAGCTCTGAACCCTTCTCTGTTCTGAGCCAGTCTCACTAATTCTGACACACCAGTCTCCATTACTAAGTCACTGTGCCTGGGATCTTCCTCACCTGCACTGTCTGTCCACCCTTCTGAGCATAATGTCCTTCTCTAAGGACCAGTCTCTCCTGACCACATGCCCAAAGTAAGTGAGGCAGAGCTTCAAAATCCTAGTCTCCAAGGAGAGACCTGGTTTTCCCCTCTCCAAGACAGACCTATTTATTTTCTTGTCAGTCCATGGTATGTTCAAGATTCTTCTCCAGCACCACAACTCAAAGCTATCTATTCTTCTTCTGTCATCCTTAGTCGTTGTCCAACTCTCTGAAGTATAATAAGTAATTGAGAAGACCATGGCCTGGATTCAGGTGCACCTTTGTATCTAGACTGTCATCGTTGCTCTTCAGCACTCTGGAGAAGTCCCTGACAGCAGATTTTCCCAATGCAATACGTCTTTTCATTTCCTGACTGCTGGTGTTAAGAGTGTTGATTGTGGATCCACACTCTGTTGGGTCACATTTTTTTTTGGAATGGGAATAAATAAGGATCTCTTCCAGTCAAATAGTTGTCCTCCATATTTCTTGGTACAACTTAGTGAGGACATGCATGGGAGCATCTGTTTGCTTAAATACATTAGTTGGTATCCCATCAACTCCTGGGGCTTTATTTTTTTTTGCCAAGTCCTTCAGAGCAGCCTGCACTTCAGCCTTCATCACCATTGCCTCTTGATTATAGGTTGTTTCTTGCAGTTCTTCAATGTCAGCCAATTCTTTTTTGGTACAATGACTCTGTATACTCCCTCCATCTTATTTTAATGTTTCCTGAATCATTTAATATTCTACCCTTAGCATCCTTAAGCATTGCAACTCGTGGCTTGAATAGTCAAGTATAATGAAAAGCAAATGATAAATATTGCTGAGGATAAAGAGAGATTGAAACTCTAATGGACTGCTGGTGGGACTGTAAAATGGTACAGCTACTGTGGGAGATAATTTGACATTTCTTCAAAAAGTTGAAATTATAAATACCATTTGACTCAGCTATTAGACTATTGAAAATAACCCCAAGGAAATCACAGCTAAGATATTAACAGATATACATACATCTGAGTTTATTACAGATTTATTCACAATAGGAAGAAGATGAAAACAGCTCAAATGTATATTAACAATCTAATGGACAGAGAAATTTTGGTACATTCACACAGTGGAACACTTTAGAGCATTAGAAACAAGGACACACTTCTATACAACATGGATACATTTAGAGGATATTATGCTGAGTGAAATAACTGAGCTCCTAAAGGAAGAATACTGTATAAAACTGATACTGTGCAAATAGAAATGTGATTGGGAGATGGGGAAGGACAGGGAGAACTGAAACAGAATGTACAGAGAATGAACAGTGTAAAGTATCAGGGGAAGGGAGATCAACCTGGGAAGAATGAATGAAATCAACAGGGCATGGACAATTGCCCAAATGGGGGAAAGTAGGAGAAGGGAGGAAAAGAGAGAAGGTAAAAATACTAGAGCAGCAGAGGTTAGTGGATGGATGAGTGAACAATGGACAGTGAGGATCTGATGAAATATTGGGATAAAATACAATGATATAGTTAATATTATAAACCAAAATGTTTTTAAATGATTGGATGAAAACCAATAAAGAGAAAACCAGTCTACAACCCTGACACACATCTTTCTTGATTTTTTTAAATTAATTTTAATGAAAGTTTACAGAGACTTAGGGTCTCTAGTCATTCATTGTTGCACTTTTCTCCCTTTCCCCCATTTACTCTTCTTCTTGAAAAGTAAAACTTTCACTGTTATACAATCCCTCCCTCCAAGTCCACTCCACTGTGCAGTTTTCCATTTTTCTTGATTTTAAACTATGCAGAATCCTCTCGCTGTGTTCAAAGGCTACTTTTTGATCTGTGTACAGGTTCCCTAAGAGCACAATTAAATGTTCTGGAATTTCCACTCTTGTTATCTAAAATTTATTGTGATACTCACAGTCGAATGACTTGCTAGTAGTAGTCTCTGCTCTCAAGCAAGAGCTATCTAAATCAGAAATGATAAAGTGAGAGCACCTTAATATAATTATTTTGTTGTCTGTTGTATACCATCCAGTCAGAACCAACCCATAGCTGACCCTCCAGTGGATTTTCTGAGGAAGTAAATTGCAACAAAGGAAACTGACTATCCTTCTCCCATGGAACAGCTGGTAGATTTAAACAGTATGCCCTTGGGATTCCAGCAAAGTTTCTTGCCATTAGGTCATCAGAGCTCCCTTAATGTAATCATGGATTGTACTAATTGGAGACTGGATTTCCCTTTTATAAAATCTCATTTATTTTCTAACTGGCTTCATTCATTTCTGCCTGGAGTTTCCTCTTAATGTCCTCCTTCTATTTGTATCTACAAACTGAGACTGCTGAAATTATGCAGCTTCTCAGGTTTGTAATGTTTGTGACTTAGTAGCCATAAAAAATCGAGGAGGAAGGCAGGGATTGCTTCTTGTTATTGTTCTAAATTTCTTGGATCTTAATTCTCTATGCATTAGAAAACTAGGTTTGAATTGTTTTTCATTCCTTATCCATCTAAGACAGCCTTTTATCCCCTACTTTCTCTCCATCTTCTCACTGTTAGTTATACCATTTTAAAATTTGAAAACCTTTAAAATGGGAAAAAGTGGATAACGTTTTAAGCATAACTAAGGTTTTTTCTTTCCAAGATCTTGGCTCCTCAGGCTTTGTCTTGTAATTCTTTGCTTTCTTCAAGTAATTTATTTATATCTAACTTTGCTACTTATTTCTGGCAGGAATATTGGTCTGTTACAAGTTAGCTTGCTATTGCTGAAAATTGACGTGATTAATAAATGTGTAGACGAACATGTACTTAAGAGAGTATATTCTCATAACTGAAGTCTTTAGTTATTGGGTTGTCATTTATTTGGCTGACTAACATTGTAATTATTATTTCCACCTGAAAATCTATATAGGTAAATGAGTGAAATTTTTATCTGCACTCATACTATCATTAAGCTGTGACTTATTTATTCTTTCCTTCAGGATTTTGTGTCATGTATAGAGAGCTACAGAAGAAAAGGACAGGAGCTATATGCATCTTTGTACAAAGATCATATGCAGGTAAGAAAGAAAGCATTTTCTTTTTTTATCTCAGTAGACTTGAATTCACTTTGAACCTTATCTAAATAAGAAGATGAGGACCTGATGTGGGCCACCCTTGGCCAAGTGTCCTTCAGATCCACACTTAAAGCAAGTGAGTGGGAGCTTCCTCTCTACTCCCTTGCCTATCCGTGGCTCTCGTCTGTGACACTGTCTACTGAAGTGGCCCAGCTTTCCACAGTGGAAGCAATTCTGACCTCCTTTATTACCTTTGGGTGGCATTGTTTATGAGTAAGACTTCCTGACACAGGCCCTAAACTGGCAGCAATAGCTGCCCCAATAATTTTGGCCATTCTCTGGTCTTTTCTCTTCCCTCAAGATCCCAGTTGTTAAAAGAGGGAAAAATTTAAACAAATAGATAACAAATAATTTTGAACATTATAATCTTAAGTTTAAGGCTAGAAATATTAACAATATGATCATTTTCAATCCAGAGATACATGTTCCAATGCAGTTCCTATTTTCCATAAATGGTTTTTGTAAGAAGAATATTGTAAATGTGCACACAGTTCCACTATTCCTCCTCCATGTCACGATATAGTGTTATTAGCATGAGCAGTTATAAGTCCATTGCCATCCTTACTCTAACTTAAATTTTTTTTAAATTTAAATTTATTATTAATTTCAGTAAAAATTTACAGAGGCTTTGAATTTCCATTAATTCATTGTTGCACATTTCTCTGCTCCCAAGCCTCCCCCCCGAACACTACCTTCTTGGAAAAGTAAAAGAAAAATTATTTCATTGTTTTACAAACCCTCCCCCAGGTCCACTCCACCATGTAGACATTGCTCTAGACCCCTATCATGACATAAATACCTAATCACATATCTCTTTTAAACAGTTTTCTCCCTCCTCTGTTTCAGTGCAGTATACATTATTGAACCCATCTTATTCAGTCTCTCCCCAACCCCAAGAACAGCCCCATTCTACAACAGTGGCACCATGCAATATTTGTACTTTTGTGACTGGAATATTTCACTCAGCATAATGTTCTCCAAAATCAACCATTTTGAATAATATTGCATGATTTCCTTGTTTTTCGAAGCAGCATAGTATTCCATTGTGTGAATACACCACATCTTCTCTACAGAGTCCCTTTTCAGCAGGAAGTAGCTAAGAGAATATGCTGTCCCCTTTTCCTTATGAATCAGGGTGAAGTCTCTCTCAGGGAGGAGCGATAGGGAATGGCAAAGGACACACTGACAAAAGAGATTAATCAGAACTGGCTTCGGCAAGCACTGTGGCAATTGGACAATTAAAACAGACTTTCTATTTTTTTTCTTCTAGGACAATTATTTATTCATATTGAAAAATTTTCGTCAAGTTTATATCATACATTTACAGAATTTAACCAAAATGTTTCACAAACTTAATAGTAAGAATTAGAAAATCAAATTGTCTAGATGAGATGCAGGGGAAATCTTGGTAACTTTTGGTTAGGCCAAAATTTCCTGAAATATATTGAAAAAAATCATGAGTTGTAAAAGAAATAAATATTACAAGTTTGACTTTGTCAATATTTAAAACATTTGCTTCTCAAAGGACACTGACAGGGAAATGGGAAACGTTAGAGGAAGCATTTAAATAACGAAGTCTAGGGTAGACACGAAGCCCCCGTCTGACATACTTTGGACATGTTGCAAGGAGAGACAGGTCTTTGGAGAGGGACATCACGCTAGGTAGAGTAGAGGGACAGTCTAAGAGGTGGATTGATTCAGTGACTGGGGAACTCGGGATGGGTGTGTCAGAGGCAATGCGATTGGCACAGGATAGAGCAGGGTTTAGGGCTGTTGTACATAGGGTCGCTATGAGTCTCAAGCGACTCAACGGCACATCACAACAACATGGTAGACACATTAATTTAGTTGAAAGGAAATGTGATCTACAATAAGGAAGAATTCAGGACAAAATTGTCAAGACCCTGGGAAGGGCACAAGAGTGAATGCAACAAAGATAAATATCATCCCAACCTCAAGAAAACAAAAATCCTTATCACTTCATCAATATCAATAAAGTATTAAGAAATTTAAGTTGTCAGTGAGTTCATTTTAGAGTCCGCACACATGGTAGCAACAAAGAATCAAAAGACATGTAGCATTTTGATGAGGACATCTGCTGTCAAAGACCTCTCCAAATTGCTAAAGAGCAATGATATCTGTTTAAAGACTAAGATGTGAATGACTCAAGGCATGATTTTTTCAATTTTTTCCTATACATCTGAAAGTTAGACAATGAATAAAGATGACAGAAGAGGAATGATGTCCTTGAATTGAGATGTTGGATAAGAATGCCAAATTAACTATTGTTGTTGTTGTTATGTGCCATCGAGGCATTTGCGACTCATAGCAACCCTATGGACAAGAGCCCTAAATGC